ACAGACAGACAGACAGACAGACAGACACACAGACAAACAGACAGACAGACAGACAGACAGACAGACAGACAGACAGACAGACAGACAGACAGACAGACAGACAGACAGACAGACAGACAGACAGACAGACAGACAGACAGACAGACAGACAGACAGACTGAAAGACAGACAGACAGACAGACAGACAGACAGACAGACAGACAGACAGACAGACAGACAGACAGACAGACAGACAGACAGACAGACAGACAGACAGACAGACAGACAGACAGACAGACAGACAGACAGACAGACAGACAGACATACAGACAGACAGACAGACAGACAGACAGACAGACAGACAGACAGACAGACAGACAGACAGACAGACAGACAGACACAGACAGACAGACCGACAGACAGACAGACAGACAGACAGACAGACAGACAGACAGACAGACAGACAGACAGACAGACAGACAGACAGACAGACAGACAGACAGACAGACAGACAGACAGACAGACAGACAGACAGACAGACAGACAGACAGACAGACAGACAGACAGACAGACAGACAGACAGACAGACAGACAGACAGACAGACAGACAGACAGACAGACAGACAGACAGACAGACAGACAGACAGACAGACAGACAGACAGACAGACAGACAGACAGACAGACAGACAGACAGACAGACAGACAGACAGACAGACAGACAGACAGACAGACAGACAGACAGACAGACAGACAGACAGACAGACAGACAGACAGACAGACAGACAGACAGACAGACAGACAGACAGACAGACAGACAGACAGACAGACAGACAGACAGGACAGACAGACAGACAGACAGACAGACAGACAGACAGACAGACAGACAGACAGACAGACAGACAGACAGACAGACAGACAGACAGACAGACAGACAGACAGACAGACAGACAGACAGACAGACAGACAGACAGACAGACAGACAGACAGACAGACAGACAGACAGACAGACAGACAGACAGACAGACAGACAGACAGACAGACAGACAGACAGACAGACAGACAGACAGACAGACAGACAGACAGACAGACAGACAGACAGACAGACAGACAGACAGACAGACAGACAGACAGACAGACAGACAGACAGACAGACAGACAGACAGACAGACAGACAGACAGACAGACAGACAGACAGACAGACAGACAGACAGACAGACAGACAGACAGACAGACAGACAGACAGACAGACAGACAGACAGACAGACAGACAGACAGACAGACAGACAGACAGACAGACAGACAGACAGACAGACAGACAGACAGACAGACAGACAGACAGACAGACAGACAGACAGACAGACAGACAGACAGACAGACAGACAGACAGACAGACAGACAGACAGACAGACAGACAGACAGACAGACAGACAGACAGACAGACAGACAGACAGACAGACAGACACACACACACACACACACACACACAGACACACACAGACACACACAGACACACACAGACACACACAGATACACACAGATACACACAGATACACACACACACACACGCACACACACACACACACACACACACACACACACACACACACACACACACACACACACACATCTTCAGGAGCCCAACAAAACTAATACGGAACCAGCCAAAAATGCAAACTTTCGCGAGCGCCTCCAGGGGGAGTCGGGAGTAAGCAACGCGACCCAGGGGTGATTTCTGTTTATGACTTGTGTAGAAGGACGCCCAAAGGATGCCAGGTTTATAACAAATAATAACAAATATATCACCCTCGCTATGTCCAAGCAGTTTCGGTCTAGAAAAGCGGCAAGCGCTGTTGCCTTACGACTTTGGTCGGTAGCAGGCAAGTAGTGGTAGGGAGGCAAGGAGGATAGCCAGGGATGGTGCGCCCGCTGCGTGCCAAGCCATGCATGGATTTGCAATAGATCACAGGAAACCAGGCTCCTTGATTAAGTCTAGGACGGTCTAGGCTGCGCCGTCAAGGGCTGAGCTAGCTTGCCGCTTGTTGCTCAGCTGTTGCGTTTCAGGATCAAAGTTTGGCCCAGTCGCCTGACGCTGCCCAGAAACCGCGTGCAGTTGCTCCCTTTGGGCGACCCTCACCCTCCAGGCGCAAAACCAAGGTTCAACTCACTGCGCTGTGCGCGCCCGAAAGCCCAGCGGGCCCGAATCACACGCGGCATGAAGGCAACTGTGCCAGAAGATCCTCTGTGGCTTATGCGCCCTCATTCGGAAACCCACACGCCCCTCCAACAAAAATCAAGCAACCTCGAAGGTGCGCTTGGGGAATGCTGGCTTCAATCAAAAGAACGTTTACCAGGGGTTGAGGATCATGGTACTGGCATAAAGCTTCTTGAAAGCACATGCCTGGTTGCCAAAACGTGGGAACCCTCCAAGTAGCTAGAGTCATGCTAGTTCTGTTTCACACTCCCCCTGCGAAGATGCCTAGTTTTGACACATCGACGCGTGTCCCCCATGCTAATCTCTGGTCCTTGCTTCCAGATGATTTGTCTGGATGACAAAGCAACGCTCTGCGCCGGTATGCAGCGTGAATTGCCGCCCACGACGTGCCACGGGGAACCCCCAGCATGGCATAGTCCGCGTCCGACTCGCAGTCGGTCGTCATTTGGACGAGCACCGCCGCTTGCCCACAACCAGGGCAGGCCATCTTCGGGTCCAAACTGTTGTCCTTTCGCAGGCAGCGAGTGAGGTAGCCGCACGATTGCAGGATGATAAGCATGTGATATCTCTCCCTCTAATGTAAGAGTCATGGGTTGGGAATCATTCGAACAGAGATCAGCTCATCTGCATGGGACATGTTAAGCAATCCCTCAAGAGCGTTGCCCCCTTGTTAGAAGATTGGAGGAATCCAAGCCAAGTCAAGCTTGACCGTGCTTCCTGCTAAGCAAGCCTAGGCAAACAGGAACAAATCAGGCGAGCTCAACTCCCTGCAAAGATCATCCAGGACAATCTCAGGCTCAATGTGAGTCCCCAGTAAATCACCAGGGGTTATCCTGATGGGATCGAAGTTCCCTCCAGGTTGTCTCACTCACCTGGCCAAGGCCATGAAGGGCTGAGTTAAAGAAAATGTGCCCGGGCAACATGATGAGTTGTCCATTTGCGCAACATGACGCAAACACGATTGCTAAAAAGGGCTGGAACCCACAAAAACCGCCTCCCCCCCATGCGGCTGCGTCTCTTCGAGACATAAAAATAGGTCTTCTTTGCAGCTGCCGCAGATCTTGTTTCCCCCGCAGCAAATGATCTCATGTGAGGCCGGCCGCCCGCAGGCGCAAGACATGGCCACAGGAAGCCACACTTAAACGTTGAGGAGTAGCAAACCCCTTGTGTGAAAGCTCTGTCACTTCAGTCTGTCAAGGGCTCTTTGGGACTAACACCCAATTCAATGTCAAGCTACAGCAAGGGCCAATGGGGTCTGGACAGTGCTTGCCTTGCCTTGTTTGAGGCAGGATCAGTGCAGCCGTGTTGCAGCTTGTTTCAAGGGCCAATGATGGCGGCCAATGCTCTTGAAGGTTCCATCTTGCAGGAACGCCACTCGTTGAAATCTGTCAACCAAATGGCTCGCAAAGAGGAGCGCTAGCCAATCCAAGCCATCTCAGCCGACAAGCGCTTTGGTAGCTGTCCAATGACAGCTAAATTCGGGGGGAGCCTATCTCCCGACCTGGCGCGGGCAGAAGGATCCATGCTGAAGGGGATGATCCGAAAAAGACAGCACAAAAGGCTCCGCAAGGTTTGAAGGGAAACGAATAGGAAACCACCCATTTTGAGGGTCCCCCTGCTTTGACACATAGCCAAAAGAAGTGGAACCTTCCGCAACTTGGGCGCCCACATTCCCAAGGGCATATCGCCAAGTGCCGCCTCAGGACACCCAACTTGCCAGCGTGGGGGATGGGGTGGCACTACCTCCTGGACCACATGCAATTTGTCGTTTCAGTATATTTGCATAAATGTGCATATCTGCAGCACGCAAGTCACAAGGCCGTTTTCAGCCGGCCAAAACGAGAGCCTGTTTTCTGCCTGCCTTTGCTCCCGCCAAGCTGAGGCTCCTGCGCAGAACTCCGGCTTTGACCAAAAGCCATCCTTGTCTGCGTCGTACTTGTAGAACCTAGCGGCAAGATTGCCCTAGGCTCGCAAACAGTACATCGCAAGCCTGTGATGCTCGACTTAACCCAAGCCGGGACACTGTCAGGTCCTTGTCAGTTGGTTGCAAGTTTGGCTCAGAGCCGAGCAAACAACTTGCCTCTGGCTACCTGAACTTGGATCAATGATTCTGTCGATCAGTGCCCGCCGCAAGTACCCAACGGATCGAAACGATACGCAACAGCACGGAGAGCCTCATAAAAGTGCCGATAATAATGATAATAGTAGCAATAATATACAATACAACTCATAAGAGTAACAGTAATCCCAAAACAAACTTTGGCGTGACATACCACTGCTTGGGCGGGCAGTTCGAGTGGAATTCCTCCAAGCGGCAGTCTGGGGCGCACGCCAGTCCACCGGGGCCAGCTTCACCACGTGCAGGCGCCGGATGACGCGCTGCCAAAGAACCTGAACATCTGCAAATGGCACTGATCTAAATGGGAATCGTCGTATCCAGTTCCTGGCCCATGGCTCCAGAGCCGTCTTGTCGAATTTATGTGGTGAGGCCACGTGGCTTGCCATGCCATCGGGCACAGTCCATTGTCACCAAGCTTTTCAAACTGGGAGGCACCCAGTTGCGCCCGAACCCCCACTCTTCCCCCCACCCGTTCACTGAGCTTCTTCGTGAACCGCCACAAAACAGAGTAGGTAATTCCCGATGTGGTTGGGGTGAATTCAACGAATGCGGAACCTGGCAACACACGATTCACGCAAACAACCCTCCCCCTTTCTGGGTCATGCTTTGCATACAATGCCAGAAACTGAGGAATGCAGGGACTGTATAGTTGCGCTTTGGACACCTCAGTTGTGGCTAGTAGCACCCATTCTTGGAAACGAAACTTGAAAAACGAAAAGTAAACCCTTCTTTACGATACCTCATGTATCACGACCAGCTTGTATGAGTGTCGGTGAGACTGATTGTTTCGTCGACCCCGTCACCTCTGATTGAGCAGAATTATCTTCCGTTCTCAGACCACAAATACTACCCTGGGGCGATGTCACATGCTTGTTGCATTGAGACCACATCCAACTACGGAGATGTTTGAGGAGCCACAATGGATGTCAACTTGTGCACCCCGCTCCATGGTAATGAGGTTCACCCACTTCCCTTGCCACACCCCCTACCCATGCCTGGAATTGCTCCTCCGTGAGCGCCCCGCGGTCTGCCTCCAGTACAGACCTGCCAGTCGCCGTTTCTTGCCCATCCGAAGACCCTTTTTTTTGACGGGCCTATGGTGACCGCGACCCCTGCACTCAGACTCTGAAGGGCAGCGAAACGGCGTATGAAGTCATGGACCCAGAGTTGGGAACTCATGTACCCGATCCCTTAGTTGCCTGTTCTCCCACTGAACATGGCCCTCTTAACGCCCTGGGGGTCATGTTCTGTGCCTATGAAGCACAAGTGCAGGGCATCAGTGCCCATTGGCATCAGTGCTCATTTGCTGGAATGGCTATGAACACAAGAAAGCACAAGGGGTGCATCCATGCGCCAACTGGCTTTGCACCCCTTGTTGGTGACCGGTTGAAAAAGAAACCAATATGACACCGCCCATCCTGTGTGAGAGAGAAATGTGATCGGCTTGTTTGTATGGCTGTGATTCGTACAGTATGGGTCCCTAGTAACATGCTGAGATAGCGGCAAGCCATGTGCTCCAGGTGCCAGCACGCTGGTTGGATCGTCCTGGCATTGGAAACGTCTGACGGCGCATGGCACTCTCATCGATTCTGGTACTTTGCCCATGCAAGACTGACTGTCCGGACTGATGCAAGCTGACTGTTCACTCCTGCCAGCCGACCGCCAGCTCGATGTAACCGGCCAAAGTCTGCCTAAAGCGGGGACATGGCACTCATCATTTTGACGACTGCCAAAACCTCTCAAAGATTCTTGTTTTTTACACGTCTCACCCTTTTGTGGCTTGACACGAAGCCATCGTCTATAAACCGGAAAAAAGCAGCCAGCTCTGACTCAGAGCCAGGCCCACGATGCAAGGGGAAGTTGCCCTGAACCTCGGAGTCTGGGCTACCTCATCTCACCAGGGGTTTTACGAACGACTTCATGAACTTATCAGATATACCCGCGAGGGACCTGCACCTTCCACATGACCTGGACCTTGCAACTGAGCAGGCAAAACAGTTTGCGCGCCAAAAAGGATGGCTTGTTAGGGCTGGTCAATGCTGATTAGTGCTTCCTGGGGCTGGTTAGGGCCGGTTGGAGCCGGTTTTAGGTCAGCATATGTAGAGTAGAGTTCGCATGTCAAGTTGGTCTCAGGTAACCCGCCGGGTGAAAACAAGAAGAGTAGCAGCGCCAGAAGACCCGCGCAAGCAGAATCACGGAAGCCGGCATCAGACAGGGCCCGATGTGTAATTGAAAGGCACGTTCCTTGTCCAAGAACCTGGGAATAAAATCTGAACCGTTTAGGGTCATGAGTAAAGAACCAAAACTGGAAACCCAACAGTAACAGGTCGAAAGATTGGTTGCGGACAACAATGTCTAACTTGTCTCAAACGTAAATGCTTGCCTGGAAATTGCGCCGGTGACTTGCAGATATTGCAATATTATCCCAGCAAGGTTCCTATATGCGATGTTGTTCATATCCCACTAGTGATTCGGCTCTGGTCATCTCAATGGTGTGTTCGCAACCTACCATTAGTTTACATTGTGTCATTAATTGTTTAGTCCTTTTTATCGCAAATATTTTGATAATAACTCACCAGTGGCCAAGAGTGATTCAGGAGTTGCTCAATTATACCCCAAGAAACACTTAAGCTATGGCTCTGGCAAACAAACCCAATCCCAAACAAGAAACACATGCTAGATCTTTTATAAATGGGAACCAACATGCAACAAAGAAGTTGCTCCCCTGCTTTTGACACGTAATGGTCACGGCCATCTTCATGCCCTCGCAAGCAAGAAAGTCACACTAGCCATGGCGACTATAGTGATCAGCTACTGCCGGAGTATCAGTTCACATTGTGGCTTCAGGTCCTAAGTTCGTGCCCGAGGCCCCCCACTCGCGCTGTGCGGGACCTCAGCTACGAACACTCCGTACCCGCATTCACCCGATCCATCTGTCAACAGCCCCTCAATGAACTCAGCGAGTTCGCAAACAAAGCCTACTAGACCTCCTTCAAATGTGAATCGGGATCGATTCAAGTGACCTTCTCAAAAATACCCCGAGTAAAAGAATGCCGAACATGAAACTCAGCCCTCACAGTCATTTTGGGATAAATTGCTCACTTTCATGAATTCGGCGCAATGCCGGTGCAGATTCCCCAAGGGTTCATGACCATGCCCGCCAACCCCGGGATGCGTTTTTGACTTGGGCACAGAGCTCAGCCAGTGATCACAAACAAACAAACGAACAAACACAAACAAACACCCCCGCATAAACAAACAGACAGACAGACAGACAGACAAACAACCAAACAAGCAAACAAAGGCACAAGGACCAGGAAGTGAGCCGCTACACTCTTTCCAACAACAGTCCGATGGCACAGGCCACCCCGCGACAGGAGCTGCGTCAACGGAATGCGAGCCTCCCCCACGAGGCCAATCTGCTCCTTTGAAAGCCACCGTGTTGGTAGCGAATACAAGTGCGCACACACGCACACACGTCATTAATATATTTATAAACACATACATACATTTATACATACATTCAAACGTACACACACACACACACACACACACAATCTATTACCTGTGCATGTATCACCTGGTGTCTAGGTATCAGTGAGTCAGGTCCTCGGTGGCGCCAGCAGGTGGCACTGCCGCATCGAAGACCAAGAGGTGGAGACCCCCGCTGCTCTCTGCCCACCTGAAAGCTGTTGGGCCAACCCCTTGCCCCGATGCGGTCGCGTTGGCCAACCCCTTGAAAACCCAAGCCCTTTGGGGAATCCAACTTGGGGGGTCGAGCTTTTCAAGGGAAACCCAACCCATTTCGGGGATAGTTTGGTCTGACACATTCTTGAGGCGCAGCTCTCCTTGCAACTCAGGCAAGATCCGTTGAGTCTTGTGACTCAAAAATGTTCGATTCTCTTTGCCCCACAAAATAGTAGGGGATGTTGGGGTTGCTTTTGTTCCCATAAAACAACACAGCCAGGGCCCCGAAGATTGGAACGCACCTATCGCACACCTCCGGAATGTGCTGATAACTGTGCATCTGTCATTGTCCCCATTTCGTGAATGCAACATATACGGCTGCACTGGCTGTTGTAACGCTGTTACAAGCTGCAAACTACCAATAAAGAGCGACTTCAAGCTGGTGGAATCTGTGACAAGCTATGACAGCCAATGAGGTTCCTTGTGACCTGAGTTCTTTTCGGCGCGCCTGCAGAAGTCTTGGTCCACCCGAACCACCATGCGGTGGATGTCCTGCCAGCACTGCAATCCATCCGCTGAAATCCCAAGATGCTTCACTCATCTGGAATTCCGTGAAATCCGAACGCTTGGGCTTCGGTTCCAGATTTTCTCATCCAAATCCCAACATTTCAAGTCACACTGGGCGGGTGCGGGGCCCGTGTCCCATCTCAAGTCACTGCACGCGGACATCGACTCCCGAACTCCTCGAAGGACACGTTGGGCCCACTGCCGGTCGGGGTGAAGTGGGTCTTGTGGCCAGGAACCTGACGGCTCCGGTCCCAGAAACTCGGCACTCGATTCAGACTTCGCCTATGTGAAGGGGACCCCAAAATGGGGCCTGGCTACACTCTACTGAGGGCAAGGAGATTGGAAACCAAAGCGGGTCGCCGCGGTTTTTGTCCTTGTCCACGGCGTCTTGTTGTGATTCGGTGGGGGTTCCTTCAGTGGGCGCATGGGGATTTGCGTCCCCTGGCGCTTGGATCCATCGCAATGCATCGCAAGTTGCCTCGTAGGTCACGTAGGGCTGCAAGGCTTCCGGCGCCGACCCAGGCGAAGGGACCTCTCATTCGCTGCCCGGAGGAGACATGGCCAGGTGTTTGGTGGATTCACTCGATGCGTGTTCCCTAACATAGGGATGTGGTGCTTTGTTTTTCGGGAAAAGAGGTTGTCTATCCCGGGAAGCATCCAAATAGGCAAGTGGACCAACCACAAGCAACGGTCAGTTGTCCAATCTTCCGAGCTCCCTGCCTGCAATATTTGCGGCATCGACCGGTGGGCAAAGATGAGTTTGGGAAGGTCAGTGGAAAAATGCACGGCAAGCAAGCAAGCACGGGCTGATAAAATGAAACGCGCCGCGCCAATTGCCAATTGCCATCCTCCCCAAACATCCCAATCACCTTCGCTTTTACCCTCCCTCCAACAAATGGAAGTTGAAGGACATGATTGTTGGAAGGCAGGTTCCACGCCAATATCATCCTAAACGGGGTGCCCACTTGTGGACTTCCGTATGTAAGAGTCTGGAGGATACTCCAAGCGCGGACAGCGTCCCCTTCTGCCCAGCAGACTGCTGGGGATGTGTGAAAGGAATCGCTACCCGCAAAATGAAATTCGGATGGCTTTCCTCGTGTCCACGCCAAACCAAAGTGAAATGGATGCCCCAAACAAATAACACCCTAATAGAGTTCATCTCTGTGAGAGGGAGGCCAAAAGTTAACGGCTTGATCCAGCGGACTGCCACTTCGCATCGAGAGCACGACCACGCGCACTCAATGTATCAATTGTGTATAAACATGACACGTGTAAAAAGGTACCCGAATTGGCACCTTGGCATTTGGACACAAAGACTAGACCCTGCGTAGCCCCAGCCGTTTGGCTACTGCAGCTATCTTAGCTAGTTATCTATTGATGTACTTTGTCGTTGGTTTTTGTATCGCTTGTCCAAGCGCCTCTGATAGGACTCCACTTGAACAGCTCGAAGCAGTTCCCAATGCCCCTGCTTCCACGTCATCAAAAGCTGAGGTGCGAGCCAAGGACGTCGCATTGAACACCTGGACCTGCAGGGGTATGTGTCAAAATAAGAACTAGGGACCCCTTCCGGACTTAGCACGAAAAACAAGTTGGAGGGGCCAGTTTTGACATGTTGCCAGTCAAACTAGATGCCATCTTTTTGGGTATTGAGATGAAACCTGTAGACCCACCATCCTAGGCACAAGTTCTAAACATCCACATCTGGTGTCTTCTTATTAGACCCGCAAAATGTTGGTGTTCCCTGTGACCCCTCTAAAACCAAAAAGGCGTACCAAGTCCATAAAAGAGAGCCCATTTGAGAACTGAGAGGGGCCTCCAGCGGTTCAGTGGCAGGGCATCTGGTAACGAGCATCTCCAGTCAGATTGACGGCTGGGCGCTGGGGGGCATGCAGTTTGGGGTGAGGTGCTAGTGCGCATTTGTTTTTGCGAGATTGACAGTCGGGTGCCCTGAGAGGCGCATTTTTGCGAGATTGATGGCAGGGCGCTAGGGGGCACGCAGTTTGGGGATTCTTCTGGCACGTGCTGGTTTGGCATTCTGTTTGGGGTGCTGGCGCTGGTGTGCAATCGTTGGCATGTTCTTCGCTATCTGGGGTCTATGCTGGTGTATTTTTTGCGTTGGTACGTATCCCATGGTTTTCCACCAACTTGTTCAAGGGCAACCTGATGAGCAGAATTTGTGAGCCATCGAGTATAAACCAAATTTCAGCTCTTGGACCCGTGGCAGAGATCGCAGACTTCCCCACGCTTTCGCTCTGAGTCTCTTGGCAATGAGACCCTTGGCAGCATCCATGAGGCCAGGCGCGGCTGGCGCGGCCGGTGCCCCTGCCAGAGGGGGCATGCAGGGCTAGCCCTGCACTCCCTCCCCCACGCCCAAGGAATTTGTGTTGGGGGGAGGCGGGAGCGAAATGAAATCCGCCCTGAAAGAAGAAATCCCCATTGAGTTGACTCCCAAGCTCATCCACCCCCGTTTCTGGCTTCAACATCACTGGCGAAAGGTGAATTTGTGGCCTTCGTGGTGAGGGTGCTCTTGTTTGATTCCCCAGATCATAATGCCAAAACCATGGAATCGACCTCCAGATAGGCTTGTGAAAGATATGTGCACGACCTTTTGGGATGCTTGCCACTTTACCTGCCAAATGTTGCTTGTTCTCTTTGGGCCTGTTCCAGGGGTCCGCTATCTTACGGAACCGTCCTTGTTTGTGGCTACACTGACAACCATGAGCTGCAAACATGCTTGACCACAGCTCGTTCGCCTGCAATGCACAAGCCACTGTAGGCTTTCGTGATATGGCTGCTTACAGAAACAAAAAGCCTGTGGTGGAAAGCCCAGGACATGAAGTCCGCTTGATCTAGAACCGCTACCAAAAGGACAAACACCCCCTTCACAAGGAAGATGCTCAAGAAGGCTCCGAGCGTTGAGTGCAGAGGCTGCGGGGTCTGTGCGGATTCTTTTCCACACAGACCTAGGAGACGGTCGAGGCGCCCAGGGCGCGCCCCGGCGGCCGCCAAACTGCGACACAAGCGACTGTCCCCCACGCCTTCAATCAAATCACTTGAAGATTATCCGGCTCATGCGGCTGCATCTTCTCGCAGTCGATCCTCGGCCAGGGGCCACCGATCGTGACGTCCCTATAGGTGCAGGTAGTACAGTTGGCCATGGCGTTGCCACCAATGGTCATGTTGTTCCAGTAGAAGTGCTCCGTGATGGGAATCAGCGACCTGCACACTGCTGGCCCCTGCAGTCTCGCCAAAGGTCCACGGCCGAAGGCCAGGGTTCGGCACTGCCAGCCCGGCTCTCTGATGGTGGTGGAGACCACATAGGCCACCTTCAGGCCCCAGAGCTCCGCATGCCAGGAGGTCACAAAGGGTCCGTTGATGCTCTCCCGATTGGCAAAGCACCACTTCTCCTCCCGAAATGCCAACAGCCCCAACGGCCCTCCGAAGAAAGCCGCCAGAAGCGCCCAACGCCCGGTGAAAGCCATCGCGATGCGTGACGGTACTCACAGGCCGGTGGCGGTTTCTGGGTGTGCCTTGCGCTGTAAACAGTGGCAAGCTGCTTGATGAGGTGGAAGTTTTGTGGGCCATAACAATATGGTGTTTGTTCTGATCTGAAGCTGAAGCCACTGCGCGGGTGACGTCAGAGACACCCGAACACACACTGCCCACGAAAGGGACACATGCATGCAATCCCGCCCGCCTGAAGAGGTAAGGAGCATTTTTTGTGTCCAACACGCCGTCTGTTGTCGGCGGATTTGAGAACCCGTCTTGATGAGTTGCGACAAGGACACAAAGGTAAGCCAACTGTTTCGGCGGGTCCCTATTTTTTGAAAACGCCCAGTGCAACAAAAGGTTGGGGATAGCTCAGCCAGTTTCTGTCAAAGGGATTGTGTTGCAGATAAGGCGTGTGGTGCGGGGTTGGTTCAACTGAAATTGAACTCGGTGAGCAGATTCGGTTCCGTGTTTCCGTTTACAACAATCCAGGCTTAGGGTCCCTCAGCATTTGGCAAACCGAATTTGACATTCAGACTTTTCACTGGGAGCAAACATGTCTTCAGAGGCTCAGTCGAGTAAGCCGCCAGCATGTAAAAGGTCCTTTGCAGACTCTGCAAGCTCCCTCAGTTGGAGCAATCATTCTTGGTTACCCCTCCCCTAACCCCTCCCCAGGGGCAGTGTTCGATTCCCCCCGGGTGCGCTTTCGCATCCTTAGCAGCTCCAGCGGCACATCGCCAGCATCACCTGCATCATCCGCATCAGCGCCTGCCAAGGATGCGGATGATGCAAGTGATGCTGGGGATGTTGCCCATGCTGGTGAAGGAAATGAAGGGGGGAAAGGGGGAAAGGATCTCAACAGCGAAAGGGGGGGAAAGATCTCAGGGAGGAAAGGGAGAAGATCTGGGGAAAAATGCCTTAAGGGGGAAAGGGGGGAAAAGATCTTTGGGAGGAAAAGGGAAATCTTTCTCGGGGGGAACAGGCCCTAAGGGGCAATCGGGGGACAGGATCTCAATCGGGAAAGGGGGAAAAAGACTTTGGGAAGAGAAGGGTGGAGATCTTGGGGGGAAAAGGCCTTAGAGAAGGGTGGAGATCTTGGGGGGAAAAGGCCTTAGGGAGGCAAAGGGAGACGAACTCAGGGGAAAGGGGGGGAAAGATCTTTGGGAGGAAAAGGGAGAAGAACTGAGGGTGGGAAAAGGCCTTAGAAGGAAAAGGGGGGAAATAAATGATCTCAACAAGGAACTGGGGGGGGGGAAAGATCTTAGGGAGGAAAGGCAGAAGATCTGGGGCAAAAAGGCCTTAGGGGGGAAAGGGGAGAAATGATCTCAACAGGGAAAGGGGTGGAAAAGATCTTAGGGAGGAAAGGGAGAAGATCTGGGGAAAAAAGCCCAACAGGGAAAGGGGGGAAAAGATCTTAGGAAGGAAAAGGGAGAAGCTCTCAGGGGGGGGGGGAAGGCCTTGGGAGGGAAAGGGGGGAAAGGATCTCAACAGGGAAAGGGTGGGAAAGATCTTAAGGAGGAAAGGGGGGGGAAGATCTTAGGGAGGAAAGGGAGACGATCTGGGAGAAAAGGACTTAGGGGGGAAAGCCTAACAGGGAAAGGGGGGAAAAGATCTTCGGAAGGAAAAGGGAGAAGCTCTCAGGGGGGGGAAAGGCCTTAGGGGGGAAAGGGGGAAAGGGATCTCAGCAGGGAAAGGGGGGGGGGGAAAGATCTTAGGGAGGAAAGGGAGAAGATCTGGGGACAAAGGCCTTAGAGGGGAAAGGGGAGAAATGATCTCAGGAAGAAGATCTCGGGGAAAAAAGGCCAACAGGGAAAGGGGGGAAAGATCTAAGGAAGGAAAAGGGAGAAGCTCTCAGGGGGGGGAAAGGCCTGAGGGGGGAAAGGGTGGGAAGGATCTCAACAGGGAAAGGGGGGAAACAATCTTAGGAAGGAAAGGGAGAAGATCTGGAAAGGCCTTAAAGGGAAGGGGGGAAAGGATCTCAACAGGGAAAGGGGGCAAAGGATCTTAAGGAGGAATAGGAAGAAGATCTCAGCGGGGGGAAAGGCCGTAGGGGGGAAAGAGGGGAAAGGATCTCAACAGGGAAAGGGGGGGAAAGATCTCAGTGAGGAAAGGGAGAAGGTCCCAGGCAGGGAAAAGGCCTTAGGGGGGAAAGGGGGAAAGGATCTCAACAGGGAAAGGGGGCAAAGGATCTTAGGGAGGAAAAGGGAGAAGATCTGAAAAGGCCTTAGGGGGAAAAGGGGGAAAGGAGCTCAACAGGGAAAGGTGGGAGAAGATCCTAGGGAGGAAAAGGGAGAAGATCTCGGGGGAAAAGATCTTGGGGAGGACAAGGGAGAAGATCTCAGGGGGGGGAAGGCCTTAGGGGGGAAAGGGGGGAAAGGATCTCAACAGGGAAAGGGGGCAAAGGATCTTAGGGAGGAAAAGGGAGAAGATCTTGGGGGGGAAAACGCCTTAGGGGGGAAAGGGCGGGAAAGGATCTCAACAAGGAAAGGGGGGAAAAGATCTTAGGAAGGAAAAGGGGGAAGATCGCGGGGGGAAAAAAGGCCTTAGGGGGGAAAGGAGGGAAAGGATCTCAACAGGGAGAGGGGGGAAAACATCGTAGGGAGGAAAAGGGAAAAACTCAGAGGGAGAAAGGGCCTTAGGGGGGAAAGGGGGAATGGATCTCAACAGGGAAAAATGGCAAAAGATCTTAGGGAGGAAAAGGGAGAAGATCTCAGGGGGGGAAAGGCCTTAGGGGGGAAAGGGGGGAAAGGATCTGAGCAGGGAAAGGGGGGGAAAGATCTTAGGGAGGAAAGGGAGAAGATCTGGGGGCAAAGGCCTTAGGGGGGAAAGGGGAGAAATGATCTCAACAGGGAAAGGGGTGGAAAAGATCTTAGGGAGGAAAGGGAGAAGATCTGGGGGAAAAAAGGCCAACAGGGACAGGGGGGAAAGATCTAAGGAAGGAGAAGCTCTCAGGGGGGAAAGGCCTCAGGGGGAAAGGGTGGGAAGGATCTCAACAGGGAAAGGGGGGAAACAATCTTAGGAAGGAAAGGGGGGGGGAAGATCTTAGGGAGGAAAGGGAGAAGATCTGGGAGAAAAGGACTTAGGGGGGAAAGCCCAACAGGGAAAGGGGGGAAAAGATCTTAGGAAGGAACAGGGAGAAGCTCTCAGGGGGGGGAAAGGCCTTGGGAGGGAAAGGGGGGAAAGGATCTCAACAGGGAAAGGGTGGGAAAGATCTTAAGGAGGAAAGGGGGGGGAAGATCTTAGGGAGGAAAGGGAGACGATCTGGGAGAAAAGGACTTAGGGGGGAAAGCTCAACAGGGAAAGGGGGGAAAAGATCTTAGGAAGGAAAGGGAGAAGCTCTCAGGGGGGGGGGGAAGATCTTGGGGAAAGGGGGGAAAGGGGGGGAAAGGGTGGGAAAGATCTCAAGGGAAAGGGGGGGGAAGATCTTAGGAGGAAAGGGAGAAGATCTGGGAGAAAAGGACTTAGGGGGGAAAGCCTAACAGGGAAAGGGGGGAAAAGATCTTCGGAAGGAAAAGGGAGAAGCTCTCAGGGGGGGGAAAGGCCTTAGGGGGGAAAGGGGGAAAGGGATCTCAGCAGGGAAAGGGGGGGGGAAAGATCTTAGGGAGGAAAGGGAGAAGATCTGGGGACAAAGGCCTTAGAGGGGAAAGGGGAGAAATGATCTCAACAGGGAAGGGGTGGAAAAGATCTTAGGGAGGAAAGGGAGAAGATCTGGGGGAAAAAAGGCCAACAGGGAAAGGGGGGAAAGATCTAAGGAAGGAAAAGGGAGAAGCTCTCAGGGGGGAAAGGCCTTAGGCGGGAAAGGGTGGGAAGGATCTCAACAGGGAAAGGGGGGAAACAATCTTAGGAAGGAAAAGGGAAAAGATCTGGAAAGGCCTTAAAGGGAAGAAGGGAAAGGATCTCAACGGGGAAAGGAGGCAAAGGATCTTAAGGAGGAGTAGGGAGAAGATCTCAGCGGGGGGAAAGGCCTTAGGAAGGAAAGGAGGGAAAGGATCTCAACAGGGAAAGGGGGGGAAAGATCTCAGTGAGGAAAGGGAGAAGATCCCAGGCAGGGAAAAGGCCTTAGGGGGGAAAGGGGGAAAGGATCTCAACAGGGAAAGGGGGCAAAGGATCTTCGGGAGGAAAAGGGAGAAGATCTGAAAAGGCCTTAGGGGGAAAAGGGGGAAAGGAGCTCAACAGGGAAAGGTGGGAGAGGATCCTAAAGAGGAAAAGGGAGAAGATCTTGGGGGGAAAGGGGGAAAGGATCTCAACCAAGAGAAAAGATCTTGGGGAGGACAAGGGAGAAGATCTCAGGGGTGGAAAGGCCTTAGGGGGGAAAGAGGGGAAAGGACCTCAACAGGGAAAGGGGGCAAAGGATCTTAGAAAGGAAAAGGGAGAAGATCTTGGGGGGGAAAACGCCTTAGGGGGGAAAGGGCGGGAAAGGATCTCAACAAGGAAAGGGGGGAAAAGATCTTAGGAAGGAAAAGGGGGAAGATCGCGGGGGGAAAAAAGGCCTTAGGGGGGAAAGGAGGGAAAGGATCTCAACAGGGAGAGGGGGGAAAACATCGTAGGGAGGAAAAGGGAAAAACTCAGAGGGAGAAAGGGCCTTAGGGGGGAAAGGGGGAATGGATCTCAACAGGGAAAAATGGCAAAAGATCTTAGGGAGGAAAAGGGAGAAGATCTCAGGGGGGGAAAGGCCTTAGGGGGGAAAGGGGGGAAAGGATCTGAGCAGGGAAAGGGGGGGAAAGATCTTAGGGAGGAAAGGGAGAAGATCTGGGGGCAAAGGCCTTAGGGGGGAAAGGGGAGAAATGATCTCAACAGGGAAAGGGGTGGAAAAGATCTTAGGGAGGAAAGGGAGAAGATCTGGGGGAAAAAAGAGGGGGGAAAGATCTAAGGAAGGAGAAGCTCTCAGGGGGGGAAAGGCCTCAGGGGGAAAGGGTGGGAAGGATCTCAACAGGGAAAGGGGGGAAACAATCTTAGGAAGGAAAGGGGGGGGGGAAGATCTTAGGGAGGAAAGGGAGAAGATCTGGGAGAAAAGGACTTAGGGGGGGAAGCCCAACAGGGAAAGGGGGGAAAAGATCTTAGGAAGGAACAGGGAGAAGCTCTCAGGGGGGGGGGGGAAGGCCTTGGGAGGGAAAGGGGGGAAAGGATCTCAACAGGGAAAGGGTGGGAAAGATCTTAAGGAGGAAAGGGGGGGGGAAGATCTTAGGGAGGAAAGGGAGACGATCTGGGAGAAAAGGACTTAGGGGGGAAAGCCCAACAGGGAAAGGGGGGAAAAGATCTTAGGAAGGAACAGGGAGAAGCTCTCAGGGGGGGGGGGAAGGCCTTGGGAGGGAAAGGGGGGAAAGGATCTCAACAGGGAAAGGGTGGGAAAGATCTTAAGGAGGAAAGGGGGGGGAAGATCTTAGGGAGGAAAGGGAGACGATCTGGGAGAAAAGGACTTAGGGGGGAAAGCCTAACAGGGAAAGGGGGGAAAAGATCTTCGGAAGGAAAAGGGAGAAGCTCTCAGGGGGGGGAAAGGCCTTAGGGGGGAAAGGGGGAAAGGGATCTCAGCAGGGAAAGGGGGGGGGGGAAAGATCTTAGGGAGGAAAGGGAGAAGATCTGGGGACAAAGGCCTTAGAGGGGAAAGGGGAGAAATGATCTCAACAGGGAAGGGGTGGAAAAGATCTTAGGGAGGAAAGGGAGAAGATCTGGGGGAAAAAAGGCCAACAGGGAAAGGGGGGAAAGATCTAAGGAAGGAAAAGGGAGAAGCTCTCAGGGGGGAAAGGCCTTAGGCGGGAAAGGGTGGGAAGGATCTCAACAGGGAAAGGGGGGAAACAATCTTAGGAAGGAAAAGGGAAAAGATCTGGAAAGGCCTTAAAGGGAAGAAGGGAAAGGATCTCAACGGGGAAAGGAGGCAAAGGATCTTAAGGAGGAGTAGGGAGAAGATCTCAGCGGGGGGAAAGGCCTTAGGAAGGAAAGGAGGGAAAGGATCTCAACAGGGAAAGGGGGGGAAAGATCTCAGTGAGGAAAGGGAGAAGATCCCAGGCAGGGAAAAGGCCTTAGGGGGGAAAGGGGGAAAGGATCTCAACAGGGAAAGGGGGCAAAGGATCTTCGGGAGGAAAAGGGAGAAGATCTGAAAAGGCCTTAGGGGGAAAAGGGGGAAAGGAGCTCAACAGGGAAAGGTGGGAGAGGATCCTAAAGAGGAAAAGGGAGAAGATCTTCTTGGGGAGGACAAGGGAGAAGATCTCTGGGGTGGAAAGGCCTTAGGGGGAAAAGAGGGGAAAGGACCTCAACAGGGAAAGGGGGCAAGGATCTTAGAAAGGAAAAGGGAGAAGATCTTGGGGGGGAAAACGCCTTAGGGGGGAAAGGGCGGGAAAGGATCTCAACAAGGAAAGGGGGAAAAAGATCTTAGGAAGGAAAAGGGGGAAGATCGCGGGGGGAAAAAAGGCCTTAGGGGGGAAAGGAGGGAAAGGATCTCAACAGGGAGAGGGGGGAAAACATCGTAGGGAGGAAAAGGGAAAAACTCAGAGGGAGAAAGGGCCTTAGGGGGGAAAGGGGGAATGGATCTCAACAGGGAAAGGTGGCAAAAGATCTTAGGGAGGAAAAGGGAGAAGATCTCAGGGGGGGAAACAGGCCTGTAATGTCGGCGGCCTGAGCCGGAGGCACTAAAATTTAGGAGGCGCCAAGAATCCAGGTTCATTCTACTTCCCGCCCAGACACTGCACCATTTAAGGAAAAACCCTGCGAATGCACATGAAACTGCTATGATTGATCTCTCCTGAAAGGGAACCACATAGAAATATCCAGTAGAGCAGCCATCCAATCTAACGTAGAGGAATCTCCTTTTGGGGGGCAAAGACATGTCCACACGTCCAATTTATTAGAAGCAACCGGAAGCCGGAATCCATCGCCCAACCAAACTGACCAAAGTTTTCACGGACATTTGTGGCCAGCAATAAAACAAAATATGGCTGTGGGTCAAAACCCTGTACCCCTGGTGAACATCAAAATAGGTGGTACACGGGTGTTCATCCGCCCCAAATTGGAGGCATGGGTTATGACCCATGGCCATATGGCTGTGGGTTAAAATAAGGTAACCCCAAATGAAACCATGGTACAGGGAACATGGACTCAAATCCGCGGTCCGATTCCTGGTGTATTAATTTTGACCCGTGGCCGTATAAGTCAAAGGGCCCTTACGACTGGTTCCCGTCACAAGGAGGTGACCGCAGGCTTGCCCCTCCGGCTGCGACGCCTGCATGTGCTTCAGCCTGAGGCCTGGGTGGCGCTTTGGAGGCCCGGGTTTTCTGGGGGGGCACCCGAATTTGTCGGAAACACCTCACAATTAGAGTTAGGCCCAGTTATAGAATGCATATTTTATTGTTTGCTTGTCTTTAAAATGTATCCTAAGTCTACCCCAGACCTGACTGGGGCGGAAACGACTTGATTTCAGACCACCCTTCGGAAGGGTCAAGAAAAGTCAAGAAAGACCTGCCACAAATGGCACGCTCGGTGTGAGCCTCGGATGTCCTGTAATGGGAAGCTCTTGTATCCAACTCCCGATCGAGTCCTGTCACATCCGGGTATGTCTGTCCAAAAACTGGTTTGACCTGCTTTTGTGGCGCTTCTTCGGATGGAAGCCCGCAGAATGCCAACCAGTTTACTCATCAAAAGCTGAATGGATGCCCATGTTGGCCCAAGTCGAAAGTGGCTGGTTTCCCATACTCAAGCAACAACTACTAGCTAAGCCGCTAAGCGAGCCATGAGTCAGAGCTTAATACCCGGGTGTCATGGACATTACTCTAGAAGGTGTCTCTTTTTTCGAGACCCCTCTTTTGTGGTTTGAAAGGGGTCACCCAAACAGGGCAAACCACCATTTCGGGAAGGCAGACCACTTTTTCTTCGGAACTCCGGGTCCCAAAGAAGAGACGAGCCACCCCTCCAGTCAAAGCGTCCACTTCTCGGACCCGGGGTCCCGGCGCCCCGCGGCGCAGCGCATAGCTCTCCACCGCCTGGATGATGCTTCGGCGCCACCGGGCCTTCGCAACGGGCCACGGGCGGCGGGCCACGCCCCGGTTCCGGGAGGGCGAGTCTGAGGCCGAAGTCTTTGGAGATACAAATCCCTGGGGTTGCGGATTGGTTCTAAAGTTAAACGGGGATTTCCTGAAACTGCAGCATGTCGATCCAAAATTCGTGGCTTGGGGCGGGATTTCAACCCCTGGTTGGCCTTGGCTGAATTGCTGGGAGAAGCATGGGCCCACAAATCCGGTAATGTTTGATTGGTAGTTTAAGCTTTTGGCTTGGTGACTTGAAGCCCTGGTTGTCTTGAGTCGATTGCGGGCCCACCCTCCCCAAACCACCAACCCAACCCCCCCAACTCAGAAACAGCGACTCCAGCAACTCCAGCGACTCCGGCGACTCCCCGCCTTGTAGCCAACAGCTGCGATCTGCACGCGTCCATCTGCCTGGGCAACCCAGGCGAGTGTCCTATTCACAACGATTCAAAGGTTCCAGCGTTGTGAACGACCTCCCTCGTCTTTGCCCCATATTCCCCCACCCCCTCCCTACCCCCCCCTTGTCAGCGATAAGCAAGGTAGTGGACATATGACTCCCCACACCAACACCTGTTTCTTGTTTCGGCGGCTGTGGGTTCAACAGATTCATCCACAATAAACATCCGTATTATCTATATTAATATATATATATATATATATATTGCTTTTCCTGCGGCATTCACTAAGGCCTGGTGCAGTATCATTCGGTTGTATGCTGAGAGTGCTCGCTCTGCTTGATAGCACTTGTGACGCACTTGCGTAGCCAGACTCGGCCTGACTTCCTGTTGATCTCTATTTACAAAGGGATCCTAGATTCTGCTAGCGTCAATGTGCAAAATCACGTGTTCACAATACATTGCATGTTGTTGGGAGTCTTGGCTTGGGGGGAGGCTATGTGATCAACACATGCACTCGTTTCTACGCTCAACTTGGGTCACGGTGGGGTGAGGATATTATTGGGGGACTAGGATCCTTTCAGCCCTTGCCAACATGAAGTGGAGCTATGCGGATTCTTGAGAAGGCCTTTCTTAAAGGGACCGAACATGTATGTGCCCATTCTGAGGGGATACTTGGACATGCCAGAACATGCAATCGGCGCAACCGGCTGTCGTTTTGCCCGCCTCTGCTGCAAAGCAAAGGGTGCCCGCCACAACAGGATTTGGATCCTGGTGCGACGCTGCCAAAATCGGAGTGGAAAATCGGGGACAAGTTGGCTATGGGTGAAACCCCGTACCCCCAGTGAACATCCCATCCCCACTGAAATAGACTAAAATGGGTGGTGCACCTACCCCAAAATGGTACCATTGGCGTTGACCCACGGCCAGTTGGGCCGTTTTCAAGCGCCTGGGGGTCGATCGCGACAAGTTCCAACCGCCCGAAAGGGGCTGTCCTGAGGAGTGCAGTCCAACAAAGTAGCCAAAGGAAGGGACGCACGGCCCAGCACCTTGAAAGCGGCGGGGTCAACGGGGTTCTGGCCAAATTTCCATTTGGGTGTCCTTTTTTGAGGGTACCCTTTTGGAGGAATCATGGGAAGTCCAAGGGGAAAACCATTGACACAGGATGTTTGGGTGCTCCACTTTTGAGCCATGCAACAAACATATTGCACACTGGCTGACTGGCTGAGACGGCGGCGTAAGCTGCCGAGCCACCCGAGGAGAAGGCCTGGGGCCAAGCCATCTGTTGCTCCCTAAGGGCACACACACCCACACACTCCTCCGCTACAAAACAGAGGAAACCTGTTTTGGCAAATTCTAAACATCCAACCATGCCACAAGGATGCCATGATAGAACGGTGCTGCATCCACTTGTCATGGATTGTGGCTGTCCTGATTTGAGGCACACGAAGGAGCAGAAAAGTACTGGGCTTCAGAACCAGATCGGCGTCTTGCGGAGGGGTGCCCGAGGAATGGTCAGCGTCAGGTTGAACCAAATTCTGCGAGAACGGCCTTTTGGGGAGATGCTTTGGACTGTGCCTATGCAACGACTGGTGCAACTAGAAGGCCCACGTGCTGAACAACACATAAGCCATGCAAAACCGCTCTTTCGCAGCAAATGCGACGCATGCAGAGGGCCTTGCAGCAACCTTTACCCGGAAAACAAACCAACCCGACAGAAGCCCACAACACTTCCCTTTCAAGGAAAGAACCTCGCTGCTCAACCCACTCTGCCCTTCCAATCATGGAAGTGGATGTTTTGGAGGTTCAAGAGAGGAACGTAGTCTTGGTTCTGTTGACCCCCTTGCAAAAAGTTTAACTTTTTGGGGGTTTAGTGGAAAACGCCTTGCTTTCCCAAAAAGTTAAAGTCTAAAGATCCAACCCAATAGCAGTCAAGTAGTCTACCCCTCAGTCAGGCATGTTGAAACCCCCGCCTGCAGCTCCAGCCGCAGAGCGCCCTTCGCAAAGTGCTCCACCTCCGCGTCCCCCACCTGCCAGGCAAAGGACCGCCCTTCTCTTGAACCCCATGGAATAGAAAGGCCCTCCAGGAACCCTCCCGCCCCAGTCTGCATTGGCCAGGAATCTTCACTTGAAGGCGTAAGTATTCGGAACCGGTCGAGCAGCTGCGTGCCTACAACATGGTGCAAGTGGCGCATGTTGGCTAGCCCAGGTTCTCAAGTTGACTTTCTTATTGACTTGGGGGGATCCGACAGGATCACTCGCGAACGTCCCAAACCCAGCCACGAGCAGCGAGGGCTTCATCTCTGGTGTCTCTCAAAGATGATCAACCTGATAAAAGCTCGCAGCACTGCTCGGCGCCCTGTGGCTACGAAGCCTGGGGACAGCGAGAAAAGAAGTTCAAGCTGTTCTGGAGGGATGAACTCCCGCTTCACGTGTGCTGCGTGTCCTTGCCTTCTTGAAAAAGTTGGCACTTCAATGTCCAGGAAAAAAAAAAAAAAAAAAACCTTTACAGCCCCATGGGTGCGTCTCAAAAAAAAGGGACCCTTAGATCTGGCGGTGTTCCCTTGTGTTTCCCTTTAAAACCACTCCCCGGGGGTATCAACGGATCAACTCCAACCGGACCTGGAAGGGTCCGAAGGAGAGCAGCGAGTCGAAGCGGGGCCGCAGGCCGCCCTCGGGCGTCCGCTTCGCCGGGCGTCGGGCGCGAAGCCGGCTCACCAGAGGGGCAATCAGTTCTCCTCTTGTTTTGAGGCTTGGATGTTTTCCAAACCAATCCAAACCCGAGGGTTTCATGAGTCAAGGAACACGCGGAAAATGACAACGAGCTTTTTGGGCCTCCTGAAACTCCGCTCATGGCCCCGGGCAGCTGTTTCGGAGCTTCCCACATCGCAGTGCATGAACTCCGCGATGACCTGGGTGGTTTTCTGGTGGTGCTTTCAGGGAAGGGTGAAAAAATACAACCTATCAAAGAATCCTCCAGTGGCGAGGTATGCGGTCTGCGACTTCTCCCTCCAGTTGTGAATGGTTCGAAGCTGAACTTCACGGGACAAATCCACAAAGGCAACCTTCTTGTTGTCCCTCGATTCTTTTGGCCAGAGGTTGGCAGCTACGGCTCAACCACCCCGGCGAGCAGAAGGACAAACAACCAGCTGTTGGCCGTGGGCGGCCTGTTTTTTTTCCTCAGGCCTTTTTTTTCCGTCCGCTGCCGCCTTCCCCGAAAACCCCATCCAAAAACCTGCTCGCTGAATCCAACTTGGCCCGCAGCCAATGTGACCAAGCTGGTTGGTGGCGGCACCTGCGAGAGCACCGGGCCTCAGCGCTTGAAACCACTCAGACCTTTGCACCAGATCGAAAACGACTTTCCCTCCCACCAATTAACATGGCACCTGACAGGGACCCGGTCCCTTTAAAAGGAAGATGGTCTTCCAGGAGTGTCAGGTTCCATGTTAATCGGTGTGAGGGTGGAGATGCTGTTCACCCAAAGGAGCAGAGACAATTCCCAGGTCTGAAGGATTTGCACTTGCCCCTGTTTCTTTTATCTGAGCTTTGGAGCACCCCCAAAAAACCAAATGGACATATCCAGCTTCCGAAAGAGTTCTGCACCGGGGTTCCAGGTTTCGAAAGGGGGAAACGAGGCCAAGGGGTCTTTGGTTTTTGAAACCATCTGTTTGGTTGGTTTCTTTCTTGGGGGGAAAGCACGTTTTGGTTGGTTTTAAGGGGAAACCAAAAGGACAACCGAAATCTATTTTGGGGGGTCCAACCTTGAAGACGAGTCACCCTTATGCACTCGCCAAAGTCAGCCGTGCGCTCTAACGTTTCTCGGAGCCACGAGGAACACCTAGAAACACGCAACATGTGCTTGGCTTCACCCCAAAAACAGGCAAAGTAATATGGGCCAAATAATACGGAGAAACTTCAAAACAAATCGAGGAAACATCGACGTGTGATTGACTTCAAACATGCAGCAAACGCGGCATGAGTTTAGCTTCATATCAAGTGCAGAACCCGCAACATGTGTTTGACTCTAAGCCGAATGCCCAAGACACAACAATATGTGACATGTTTACACACACAACACACGCAATGCAGGCAATGCAACATGTGTCTCACGTCAAATCGAATGTACCAAATACTACATACGTTTAACTTCAATTTCAATGTGAGAAACCGAACATGTGTTGACGCCGAGCCAAAATCAGAAAAGACAACACAGCATATTACGCTGCGAAAAGATCAACATAACGAAAAGATCAACATAAACTCTGAAGCAAGCAACTGCTCATGTGATGTGACAGGCTCAGTTGTAGACCTTGCCGGGGCAGCTCCAGCAACGCACGCTCCTGGAAGGCAACGCAGTCGCACAAGAATCCGCATTTCACCCTGAGTTCATGGCGCGGATTTCTACCAAGGTGCTCACGAAACCGCCCATCTGAGATTCTGTACTACGGATACCCCGCCGAACCAACCAAGATGCACGACTCGCACCGGCCTCGATCTGCCCCACGGTAACATAGAGGTCGAGTATGTTCTGGTCACCGAACACTTCCGAGAGACTTAGTAAATGGAGGCGAGCTCAAGAAAGCGTTTTCGAACTTGACAATGAGGGATAGCAACTTCCGCCCCATCCTTGCCCTCCTGCACATCAACATGGAGCCTCACAACATGCCCGGCCAAAAATGTTGTCCTCTCAAAACCTGGTGTGTAAAACAACTCAAAGCTTAAATCAAAACAGCCCCGCTTCGGATGTGGGAAAAAGAAACAAAGGACGAACCCTCTCAACATCTGGTATTCTGTGTGTGTGTGTGTGGAATTAAAACTCAAAAGCCCCACTTTGCATGTGGAAAGGAAACAAAGGACGAGCCCGCCTTGAAGCAAAGCGAAACCGGGCGCCAGGCTCGGAGAAGCCCTGCTCGCTGACGATGTCCGCACGCTCGCCCAGCAGACGGGGCTGGGCGTGGCCGTGTTTCAGCACAATGGGTAGGTTGTTTTTCTGGTTCTCGTTGTGTTTTTTTGTTGGTAGGGAGGTGTGGATAGGTTGGCGTTGTGTTTTCTCTGCTTATTCCTCTTCTTTTTTTTGGGGGGGGGGAGTTGGTACCCTTTTTGAGGTTGGTTCAAAGGGCAATCAAGGTGAAACCCGCAATTGTGTCCCCTAGTTTGACACATACTCAAGGTGTGTCTCTGAATGGGGGTATCCTCCAAAGTGGATAGTTTCCTCGTTGGTTTCCGCTTGAAACACAGGTAGCCTCAACAAAGACGACAATTGTGAACGTCCACTTCTAGGACACGCTGATAGCTATGCAAAACATGACTATTCATATTAGAGCTTTTATCAGACTGAGCCATTTACCAACATCCGCCGCTGCTGTCACCGCCACGTTCCCGTCACCACCCTTTATCGCCGCCGCAACCCCCTTTCAATGAGCATGTTTGAGTGCATGAATCGGATGTGAAAACGCTGATGTTGGGCTCAGTGAAACTTGTCAGAATGAGTTGCAAAGCTCATATGTCTGACCAAAGGGAGAGCTGCGGAATCCCCAGGTCATGTGATGAAACAAATACTCCCAACGCCAACAGAGTGTATCCGAAATTGGGGGTCCACTTTGCTCCTAAGGGAAACAAAACCCAATGAAAGTCAACCAATCAACCAACCGACCAACCGACCAACCGACCAACCGACCAACCGACCAACCCACCAACCCACAAACCCAGCAACCCACCAACCTTCCAACCGACCAACCGACCAACCGACCAACCCACCAACCCACCAACCAACCCACCAACCCGCCAACCCACCAACCAACCCACCAACCCACCAACCCACCAACAAACCAATCAACCAACCCACCGACCAACCAACCATTCACGCAACCTCAATGCCAACCTTCCTAGGCTTCAGGATACTATCCCACCAACATCACGAACCAATCAAACCGGTGTCTCGTTTTTGAGGCTCGGCACCGTTGGGTGTGGTTCGGGAAACCACAAGACAACCGAAGCCCGGGTCCCTTTGAGCGCCTTGACCAGGCGTTGGTCCCGGCGCTTGACCAGCCGCATCTGCAGTTCCTGGAGGGGCCCCCACCTCTTCCGATGACTGGTCTTCCCAGGGTTCCGGACGGAAAGGGCTTCGCAAGTTTGGGGCAAGCGAGCCATTGGAGGATTGCTGGCTGGAGACTGAAGGATGCCAAGTTGAAGGGGCCCAAACAAATTCACACATGCCCTGGGCAAAAGATAAAGAACACTTCCCTCAATACAAGCTGCAGCGTGCACCAGTCGGAAATGTTCTCGGGAACCTCCTTCCTGGAGAAGGGGATGGGACCTTGTTGCTACACCCCGAAAAACGTGGCGGCATCAGTTACTTGATAAATAATTCAAAACGAAATCCCCAAGTAAATAGGTGTGGCGACAATATCTGTATATATATATATATATATGTGTATGTATATATACAAAGGTATTTAATAACATAGTATACATATATAGCTGTCTATGTACACTATACATATATGTGCATAGGTACAACAGGGTAAACTGCGTCACGGTTGTTGCGCCCTACGGCCAGGACGGCCCCCCGCGAGTTGGCTTGCCGGTGTCTGCAGTGTCCGCAAGTGGAAGGTGGACGGAAGCCAAACCTCTGGGGCCTGGGGTGTGCTAAAGTCCTCGTAGCTTTCAGACAGGCCAAGACGGAGTCTCAAAGCGGCGCCATCCTCACAGCCTATCCCTTTAGAACCAACCAATGGGCGGTCCCCCAAAAAAATGACACACCCATACCAATCAAAGGAATTCCTCCGAAATCAAAGAATTCCCTCAACCAGGCACAATCATCCCGGCATCCAGGTGTCGCAGTAAGGTCCTGGTGCCGTCCTCTGGTGGTGTCCAGTTTTGTTTCGGGATGCCAGTGGTGTCCCCCGGCAGTGTCCGCCGTGGTGTGCCAGCAGTGCTTTGGTGCTTTGCTCGGGGGGGTTCTGTCGCTGCCTTAGTTATTATGCCGCTCCAGTGGGGACCCCGTGGCGACAAGGTGAGCCAAAACACGAGGGAACGAATATGAGCCGTACTCGATCACCCCGTTTTACTGGGAAACCCAAGGTATCCAAATCCAACGCGAAAGACGAGCCACGCACATGATGTCTTTACACCGACTATACAACCTGCCGTGCGGTGTCAGTTTTGGGTGTCGACCCGGAAGCAAAGGCAGTGACAAAAGGTACATGTGGGGGTACGTCTGTTTTAGGGGAACCCCTTCATGAGTTTCATGTTTTCGTCAAGAGAGGGGCAGCGACTCCCGGAAAAATGGAGGCGCAAGTTGCGGATGAGCAACTGAGCTCAACATGCCATGACAAGGAGCTACAGGAAACACGCAAATGCACTGCGTGTCACAAGGACAACACACATTTTAGGGGGGTCCAAATTCTCAAAAAATGGCACACTGGTATGGTCTCCGGATGAATCCGAACTTGAAGGGACCCATCCGGTCCTTGACGCGCTGCTCCCGATCTTCTGCTAGCTGCTTGAAGCGCTCAATCTCTGCCATTGTCACCTGAGGTCTTTTCTTTCCATCAGGACATCAGCATGGGTTTCTTGTAGTCACTCATCCAGGACTCCTGGACCCAAATGGCTTCCGTCCAAATCGCAGCGCCGAATTAAAACCACAAGAAAAGGACGGCGTCTCCGATGGCCTGCATTTGCGATCCGATCTCTTCCAGGTCCATCTGGTTCAGCTTGCGGAGGTCCTGAAGCCAAGAGCTTCGGGACCGACAAACCTTGCCATATCTTGCCATACAGCTCAAGCAATGCCACACGAGCCTCGGCCAAGCTGCTTATAAAGGGGGTAAATAAACCTTGTAGCCGGATTTGACCAGGTCTACAACTACCCACCCACCATGTCTCGCTCTCTCTCTCTCTCTCTCTCTCGCTCTCTCTCTCTCTCTCTCTGTCTCTCTCTCTCTCTCTCTCTCTTTTCTTTCGTTGTTTCTTTTCTCTCCTTCCTTCCTTCCTTCCTTCCTTCCTTCCTTCCTTCCTTCCTTCCTTCCTGCCTGCCTGCCTGCCTGCCTGCCTGCCTGCCTGCCTGCCTGCCTTCCTTCCTTCCTTCCTTCCTTCCTTCCTTCCTTCCTTCCTTCCTTCCTTCCTTCCTTCCTTCCTTCCTTCCTTCCTTCCTTCCTTCCTTCCTTCCTCCCCTCCTTGCTTGCTTGCTTGCTTGCTTGCTTGCTTGCTTGCTTGCTTGCTTGCTTGCTTGCTCGCTCGCTCGCTCGCTTCCTTTTTTCCTTCCCTCCCTTTTCCTTTCCTTTCATTTGCTTTGCTTTGCTTTGCTGTGCGTTGCTTTGAATTGCTTTGCTTTGCTGCGCTGCGCTTGCTTTGCATTGCTTTGCATTGCTTTGTATGCTTTGTATGCTTTGCATTGCTTTGCTTTGCATTGCTTTGCTTTGCGTTGATTTGCTTTGCTTTGCTTTCTTTATTTCATTATTTAGTCCTTTCTTCCTTTCCTTCCTTCTTCTTGTTGTTCTTTCTTTCTTGCTGTCCTTCTTTCTTTCTTTCCTTATTTCCTTATTTCCTTATTTCTTTATTTCTTTCCTTAAATCCTTCTTTCTTTCTTTCTTTCTTTCTTTCTTTCTTTCTTTCTGTCCGTCTGTCTGTATTGAGTTCTTTCTTTCTTTATTGCGGTCTTTCTTTCTTTCTGTCCTTCTTTCTTTCTTTCTGTCTGTCTTTCTTTCTTTCTTTCTTTCTTTCTTTCTTTCTTTCTTTCTGTCTTTCCTTCTTTATTGCTTTTTTTATGTCTTTCTCTCTTTCTTTCTGTCGATCTGTCTTGTTGTCTTTGTTTCTTTATTGTTTTATGTGTTTCTAATTATCTTTATTTATTTTTATTTCTTTCTCTATTTATTTATGTGTTTTATTATTTATTTATGTCTTTCTGTATTGTTTTTATTTATGTATGTCTGTATTTGTTGTATGTATTTTGTTGATTATGTATTGCTTGTTTTTTTTTTATTATTTCTTTCTTTCTTTCTTTATTTTTTGCTTGATTTCGTTCTTTCTTTCTTTCTTTCTTGCTTTCTTTCTTTCATTATTTCTTTATTTCTTTCTTTACTTCTTTCGTTCTTTCTTTCTTTCTTTCTTTCTTTCTTTCTTTCTTTCTTTCTTTCTTTCTTTCTTTCCTTCCTTCTTTCTTTTCTTCCTTCTTTTCTTTCTTTCTTTCTTTCTTGCTTGCTTGCTTGCTTGCTTGCTTGCTTTCTTTCTTTCTTTCTTTCTTTCTTTCTTTCTTTCTTTCTTTCTTTCTTTCTTTCTTTCTTTCTTTCTTTCTTTCTTTCTTTCTTTCTTTCTTTCTTTCTTTCTTTCTTTCTCTCTCTCTCTCTCTCTCTCCCGTGTACTCATGGGTACTGCGGATAGATGTGTGATCAAACGGTGAAAACGGCCCCGGAACTCCTCAGCCCTGAGTCACCATGCTAAGAACTTCTTGCCTGCAAAACCTGCATCTTTTCGCAGGCATGCAAGTCCTCACTCCAACTGCCGTTTTGTCACTGCTCGAAATCGCTCCAGTTGTGGCACTGGGACCGTTGGGTCGAAATCGCGAGCCCTTGGTCCTTGGTGATGTCCCTCTCGCGCTGGGAGATCTTCTGCAGCGCCCGCAGCTCGTAGGCCAGTTCATCCTCCGAAAGTTTCAATCCCCATGTCGCAAGTCCCAGGCAAAACGGAATAGATGAAACTCAAGTCAAAGCTTCGTCGTCCTGTGCCCCTCCTTTCCAATTCAAAGCTTCTGCGTCGTTTGGTGCACTCGCACACATCAAGCAAATCAGCATACTAGAGCCATGGTCCAACTCCTTATATGGACTATGGTTCCCCTCACCGGAAACATTTCAATGATTGAGAATTCTTACCAGGGGGTCTTTAACGACCATTACACAGGCGGGCGCGCGCACACACACACACACACACACATGCAATGTCTTATTTTCAGGGTGTGAGCGAACCGCCATGATCTGACGCGTACCTTTTGAGCACCACATGCAGTCCGTTCCGCATGATTGTAGCTCTAAATCGGGAGTTTTGATTTGTTAATGAGTCCTTTCTATGTAGTTTCAGCAACAGACATGACTTAACACCATTCCTAAGTTTGGACAGTGTTGGCATGAACTTGTTCGTGCAGTCTTACAGTCTTACAGTCTTACAGTCTTAACCCCCTTGGGGCATGCACTTTCCCACTTGCGAGTAGCAAGTTTGCAAGTGGATTCGAAGCGAAGGGGCTCCTGGTGGCAATCTGAGCCGCGAGCCGCGAGCCCCGCCTTCTGCGCGCGGATGGCGTCCACCCGGCGAGTCAGCTCCTCCACGCTCACTCGCTGGCCAGGCATGGGCGGCGGCGGTGGCCCTGCGAGCCCTGCGAGCCAATCGATGGGAGAGTCGCAGGGGTCCGGGGGTCCGAAGATGTCACCTTTTGGAACAAACATCGCCTGTTCCATCTTTAGCTTTCGTCTACCGAATGCGAGGCGTTGATGAAAAAGACCTGGCATAGGATGTACCCGGGCCAAACAAAGGTAAACATCAAGTCTGCAAAACTAAGGAACCCGCAAAATTGGGTGCGCTACCCCAACTGGCGGTTCCAAAAGGTCCGGCGCTGGCTTGGGCTTTGCAGGAATGCAAAGCTGGATCTTGTCGGTTCAAGTAGCTACCTTCAGCGCATCCACTATAGGTTTAAATTCAAATTGAAGCCCTCCGAGAATGTGCGGGAAATCCCAATGAGGCTGGATTGAATTCAAATGTAATCCAGGTTGAATTTGAAATTCAGCCTTATTCTTGAAAAACACCTGCGCTTGGCTGAATACCGCGACTGCACACCGCAAAGATTTGGCCGTGTTTTTTCTTCGGGCAACCCTTCTGTGTGGGTTTTAAAGGCAAACCAAAAGGAAAACTTGTCCAAGTTTGGGGGGGGGTCCCCTAAAAAGAGACACGCCCACATCTGCTGACGCCACACACATGTAGAACCAAAAAGGCGTCAGTCACCCCGTCACCCGAGTCGAGCCTGTGCTCCTCTGAGCCTGAAGACGGACCATTCGAATTGATCGCGCCGTGTCAACAGGAAACCAACCTGAAGCCATAGGACCATGTTGATGTATCTTTGTTTAGGGGACCCCCCGCCCAAACAAATGTGGTTTATCCTCTTGGCCCCCTAAACAGGTACCCTCAAGAAAACGAGGAGCAACCCCAGTTGAATCATTTGGTCATTTGGAGGGTTCAATTCCTAACACACTCTCCAAGCCCTTCCACTCTTTCCCACATAGACGAAGCTGATCTGAAGGCTTCGCAGCTTAGGATGTCACCTCAAGGCACCCTACAGGGGTTCACTTTTGATCTCCCCGCAAAAGCATGGCCCCTCTGGAACAAACTCAAGGTGGGGCGCACAGGGAAGAAGGCGACTGGAAACCGTTCAGGAAAACTAAACCACACTTACTTGCTGGTGCTCAGTAGGGACTGAGGGAACGAACCTAGGGATTCCCCGTCAAGAAAACCGCATGGGATGGTTTATAGGCATTCCATTTCTCTTTCCCTGAGCACCAGCTTGTAGACACGGGGACGGGGTTCTGCGCTTCCGTGCCAGTCCCTCAGCGTGCGGCGTTGGCACGGGCAGCCACCTCCGCCGCGGCCCTCTCCTCCCGCTCGCGGAGGAACCTGAAGGAAAAACCAACGAAACCCCAAGGCCGTTCCTTGAAATGGGGGGGGGGTTCAAAAATTGAGGACCTCTCGTGGCAACTGGTTTCCTTTGGGATTTCCAAAGCCACACGCAAAAAGGGACAGCACCTAATCTTTCTCTCCATGGAGTCACTCTCAGTCTCAGGAGCCGGCTGCAAGGAAAACACCATCACCTGCGATGAGAACTGACGTGGAGCCTCAAAAAGGATTCCCGCAACACTTAGCTGTAACTTCTTGCGCACGCCCTGATTGGATCATGCAAAGTAACTGACTTGTTGATTCTGGTGCTATCTCTTTTTACGCCCTGATGATGCTCCTTGAAAGGGTGGGCGACTCCAATGTCCTTTGCTTGTTCCTAAATTGGGTGGCCGAAGGAGTGGTTGCGTGCTAAAGCACCCCTCAAATCAGGCACCCCTCCAAATCCTTCCGCAAACCGCCAAAAGGAACTTCCAACAAAGACTGAGTCACACCCAATCAACGCTCAGTTTCACCAAAAGAAGAAATACTGGGCCACTTACATTGAAGTCCAGCTTGCAACCCCCATTCTGATGCCCAACTTGTCCACTCAAGTTCTGTCCCAAACTCCCGCCACGAACCCATTAAAGTCCACAACACCCCCCGTTTAAAAAAAAAAAAAAATGCGCGCCTTCCTGTCCTCCTCCGTCAGCGTGTCCAGCACCTCCGACAGCTGCGCCTGCGCCCTCCGCACCGCCTGAGTCTGGCCCAAAGTTGGCGAGTCGACCCAAACTTGCTAGTCTCCTGGCCACGGGAATCTCTCCATGCCGTTCCCTCAGCAAAATGCTTGGCTCCTTCCCTCAGCAAAATGCTTGGCTCCAAAGCTCCAAAGCTCATAACATTCCTAACCATACTTGCCCGCAACTTGAGTTGCATGCAAACCTTTCGCTGCGCCAAGCATACGGCAGCGCCATGCACCGAGTTCCTACCTACACGCCCGTCCAGAGCTCATGCTGTTGAGCTCCAGCCCTATGAATTGCCCACCAGCACGCTTGACCTGGTAGGGTGAAAAGCCGACTCTGGGGCCGCGCTGAGCCGCTCATGAGATTGCGACGTCCGCACCCTGCATGGGTGGTGATCTTGTCACTTCATTGCGCAGGAATTGGAATCGACAAAGGGACCCTGCGCATAGCAGCAGCACGACTGTGCCCCGAGAGCCCACGAGGTCGCTACAAGATGGCAAGGTGCTCAGTCCGGCAACTTGAGCCGCACTCAGCTGTCATACTTGATGACCTCAAGAGCAGCTGCTTCCCGGCCTATAGGTCCAGAAACACCAGCTTGGACGATTCGCAGGCGCAATTGCAGGTGTCTGACCCATCCAAACACCCTGACATGATATGCAGACAGGCTGCACCCCATTTTGCGAGGTTTTCTTCCAGCTCCTCTGTGGTAACCTCTCAGCGCATCCATAGCTCACATGCTTGAGGTCGTCAGTCCCAAATGTCAGCAAAACGCCTCATCCCCGGACTTGAATTCGCTGAAGCCGACGATCGTGTGCTCCGTTTTGCCATCCTACGCAGGGATCAGCATGTGACTGTAGCAGAGTTGCAAACATAGAGCAAGTCTGGCACAGCAAATGCAAGACCAAGGCAGCTCAGAAGGACATTCTGTCCTTGCAGAGCACGAGGGAGGGCAGGCACCAAATATGCAGTCGCCTAAGCTGACATCGAAGGAACGCGTGGGTGACGTGCTAATCCGCCATGGTTGGTTGGTGTGATCTGTGCATCACATGTCATTCCTTAAAGTCACACTTCATTCAGCTCCGAGCTGCTCTGGCGGAAACCCCGCTGGTTGTTTTCAGGCAATTCCCTATGCACCACCCGTTGAAGCGCAAGCAACGCACGCACATCAACGCAACACCGAACCGCCAGTCTCCGGTCCTCTTGTCTTACTTCACAGTTCAGGACTTGATTCCCTTCGATTTGACATCTCATTCTGACATATTCCTGGCAAAACACCAAAAGTGATGCACCCGAGAATCATTCCTATTAGCAGAACCCCAAACTGATGCAGCCCAAGAAATTATTGCTCCCCAGGCAATCCCGCAAGACAGACCTTTGCCACTTCGACCGGACTGCGGGAAGAGCGTCCTTTAAAACCACACCCGTTGAATATTAGTATTTGAGGCTCCCTTTGTCTCGCGGTTCGCAAATGCCCGAAGGTGGGGCCATCCTTTTCAAAAATTGGGTGGTCTTTCTCACGGCCCAGCTTGTAAACGGTGATCACCTTTTAGGACCTTGACTAAACATGGTTGCAAAAATGGGAAAACCAAAAGGTCAAAAGGTGTTTGGACAACTGAGTTTTTGCCATGAAGTCATCCCGAGAAACTCGCAGGTGGAATGTTGTCCCTCCCGCACGTGGCACCATGTGGCAGCTTGCTCCAAGCGGACATGCCTGACTTGATGGGGGTTCGGACTGGCAGCCTTCGAGCCAGGGTTCGCTGCACCAGTCGCCGTTGGTTAAACGCCCTCACAAGGAAACCAAGCCACTCTGAGAGGTACTGCGACTTCTCCGCGTTGATTTTCACAAAGCGAGTGCCCCAGTGCTTCTGCGCCAGTTGCCTCGATCCGGCGCTCTCAAGAACAGCTCCGGAGCTGCAACCCGAACGGCAAGCGCCAGGAACCTTTACACATGTATGGCTTTCATAAGGGTATAGGTAGATTACCTCAACGGCCGAAGAAGAAGTTGGAACAAGTTTCTGGGAAAGCATTGCAAAAGCTGCCGCAAAGGAGAGGGTCCCCTGTTGAAAATGCGTTCTGCCAGGTTTAGCTACGAACACCAATGTGAGAAATCCGAAATCGCTTTCCGTGAACTACCAGCTGGGCAACCGTTGTCTTGCGCCTCAAATGCTTGTCCATGACCTCGCATCTCCAAGTGCTCTCTCGCCAGAAGTGGACCACCTCTGCTGCCAAGCAAAAGTGTTAGTTGCCGAGCTGTGCCAAGGCCGAAAGCTGAGGGCGGAACCATCTTGTCGCTCTTCTTCGCCACATCAAAAAAATCCTGCTACATTCCATGTTCGGCTCGTGCATGATGCACATTTCATGGGCGCGTTTCATCTGGGCCTTCTCGTCAATCATGGTATACTCCCCATGACCCACCGCCAGCTTCTTCAACTTGTCCTGGCAATCTCGCCCACTCACCCACTCACTCACTCGCTCACTCTCTCTTTCTCTCGCATCCGCAACCCCGGAGGAAGC